AAAGAACCATAAAAAAGATGACTGCTAATGCTATGGCAAAGTTAGTGAAATAAGAATTGATATTTATAAATGGTAAAATGCCACAATAATTTGAAAAATCTTCTAATCTGTTAAATGCATTTATACTTTAGAAATAATGTATTTAGGGATACTCGTCACCACGATTCAGTTAAGATTATATTCAACAAATGTATAAGGCAATGAATTTTTCAGTTTTGTTTAGATGTTGAAAATAAAACTTATTCAAGTGCCAAGGTAATTTACTGTTATTCTGAAGTTTCATTTTTTGCACTGTGCAGTGGCATTGGTTTTATGCTTGAGATGCACATTTGGTTGACAATGTTCCTTCTGTTTCTGAAAGTGTTAAAATACATATTTATTTCTTCTTCTAACAGTGTGTTATATGCCTTTAAATGATTATTTCAGCAATATAGAGTACAATTTATCTAGAAAATAGAAGATGACTTAGAGCCCAAATCATCAAATGCATGCAGCATAGGCAATAGGCAATCCTAGCATGAAAAGGTTAACTTTTATTAATTTTAGCTTCCTTACAGATCAAACCAACCCCAACAGAACATGGAATTCAAAAAGTGGTTATGAGATCAAATGAATCACACTGTACCCCTGTTGATACAACAAAATATAAAATCTGAATCTGACTGTCATTTGTTTATTTGGTTTTACTGATCATTGTAATTAAATATTTGGGGTAATTGTAGTTTAATTAACATTTATTTACTATTATTTTGGGACTAGAGATAGATAATCTTCAAATTGATGTTCCTTATTTTGCAGTGCATTAAGGCCAAAACCAGTTGCAAAACTTTCCAACATACTGTGTCTAAGTCTGGCCTCAATTTCTTCAAGGGATCATAACCTGTCTTGCACTAGTAGCATTCTCTTGAAATAATGTCCAAGAGAAAAAATAAACAACTCTTGGGTAACACACACACACAGAGATGTGGCCGCCAGAGGACACTCAATTGTCTATAGGTTAGGGTATAAGGTATACCAAATTGACCAACTATTAACATAGATAACTCAGAACAATTGTATTTCTAGATATCATATGAATGATTTAATAGAGAGATTAGGAAAAAAACATAAGGAAATAAATATAATTTTAACAATCTAAATTCAAGTAATGCTTCTGAAAGCAAAAACATTACAGAATTATTCATATACACAAAGTGTATTCCTCTGTCCCAAGGCGTATATTCCAAAGAGCTTTATTTCCTATAACTAGAGCTGGAGTTTTTGACTCTAAACCAGTGGTTCTCAACCTGTGGGTCCCCAGATGTTTTGGCCTACAACTCCCAGAAATCCCAGCCAGTTTACCAGGTGTTAGAATTTTTGGAAGTTGAAGGCCAAAACATCTGGGGACTCACAGGTTGAGAACCACTGCACTAGACTCTAGATGACCTGCCTATCAGATATCCACAATTAGATGAAGTTGGAACTATTATTTAATGAATTATAACTTAATTGTGTTTTGAAAATATATTTCATATATTTCACATATTAATATATATTTATTTAATCATATGTATTGTCCTACGTTAAATAATATTTATGATGCCCTATGTGCCCTTGAAAAAGGAACATCATGCTATGAAAAAGTGGCCTAACGGCTGGAGTTCATAAATTTTGTTCAGCTTTGGATGAGTTCAAAGAATTGCCATGTAAGAAAAGCCTTACAGAGGGAATTTATCTGATTATGGCAGTAATAATTACCCAGCTGTTTATTGCAGATAGAGAAATAATTCATGTAGGCAATAGGCCGTGGTGGCAATGACACTCCACATTTAGTAAATATGCAAACTGTTCACTTCTAATTAACCAAGCTAGAGGATGCCCTTATTAAATGTATAAACTAAAAGTGCCTTCCTGACAAGTGATGAATTGTTACATTGCACAAACTCTTGCCACAGAATTATTGGAGTGAACTTGGGGCTTAACTTCATTAAGAGATCTTGTGGGATAGTTAAATGAGGATGGACAGCATAACAAGGCCAGCCTGACAGCCAATGATATGTTAGGGCTGAATGAAATTGCACCTTTTCCTTCTTTTTCACTCACTTTGCAGTTAAGATCCCACAATAGATAAAGGGGATGACTGTGAAATCTGTTGCAGCTGAGACTAGATAAAAGTGTGATACACACCAAGGCTCAGATTTTAACGGAAGGATCAACTGGGGTGAAGAATCTGTGGCACTCCAGACATTGTGGGATGCTGCAACTACATTGTTCCCCACCACTTGTTAGATGGTCTCATGGGAAATGCAATACACATTCCCCATTCCTGCTAGAGAGGTTGATAAGTAATCTTAACTCTTATTCACCAATATGGGGCCTTTTGGTTCTGCCAGAGTAATATTTTGTTGCAGAACCTGCAAAAAAAACCCTAGGTCAATGTTATATTGTCACCTGCATATCAATTCAATACAAAATGATCACCTCTACATCAAACTTTATCCCGTTTTCTTGTCACTTGCTACATATAATTTTGTTTCCATACACAACACAACAAAAATAAAATCAGGGGGAAAACCCTATCCACTGTGGCTTTTTCACCAAGCAGTGTAACAAAACAAAAAAAATCCATGGTGGTCAGTAGATTGCCTCATTTCCGGGAAGCTGAAATTTCTTCTATTTCAGGGCATACTGCAATCTTCGCTAGAGAGGCTAAACCCTACACTAACCTCAACCATAATCACAAACATCAACCTCAGTCCTTCATAGCTTTAAAATTCACATGGGGACCACCTTCCACTTGGAAACCAATGTATTTTGTGCTATTTGAAGAAAAGGTTGAGACACTCAGAACCATCTAACCATAGGAGCTTGTCCCTAGATTTCACAAGCTCTTTCATCAGATAGGAGGCTTTATTAAAGATTTGGCGGAATAGTTAATTTAATTTGGGACTTAACTATTAAAATGTGGAACAAATTATTCACAAGGATTACAGTTTCACAATGTATCCTGGATTTTTGAATGAACAGGGATTTGTATAAGTTCTGACTGCTTTCTTTGGATAAAAAACAGGAATAGAACTACATATTATGTTGCTAAGTGTAGGCTCCCAAATACATATTCCAAATAAATTACAGGAGTCAGAGCTGGTCCTAAGTGCAGAATAAGTTGGAGAGAAGAGAATATTTATTTATTTTATTTTTGCTTTATTTTTATACCGCATTTTTCAGCCTAATTCGGCAACTCAATGCGGTTACTTTGACTTTAAATGCCTGCACAGTTTTTTCTCCCCCACTATGTTTATTCCAGGTTTGGGCGGGGGGGGGAGGCTAAAAATTGTCTGATCAGGATATGCACAAGACAAATGTCAGCTAAAATAATAGATAGGTACCTTCTCCCTCCCAGTTCTCCCCTGCAAAACTTCTGGTTCCTGCACTAGTGTCCTAAGGAAAACAGCTGGGAATCCCATGTTAGTTTCATAATTTATAATTTTAACTAAAGGGTCTCCTATGAAACCAGTTTCAAATGAAGTTTAAAGCCATGAGCCATAGCGGAGAGGTTCTGGATAACACATTGTAATGAACTCAATCTATTCCTGGAATTAGCTCATTTTCTGAATTGATTGCATAATACCTTTAATGCTGCAAAACATTAAGTAACAGTTAAAGTCAATGTATATCTGAAACATTAAAAGTAGAAGCGGAATTGACTGTATTGTAAGTTTTCCTATTATAAGCTTTATAATGTTTTATTAATGCTGCCAATCTGTATCACTGAGCCAGTTTTTAATTTCATGAAATCATTTTCTTGTTCATAACCCGAGGCAATTTTTGTATATAGGGCTATAGGTTACAAGTGTACACATTCGGAAAGTGCATTGTCAGCTTTTAAATTAATCAGCCCAATTTATCTTTGTACGAAAGATACAGTCTCACTATGAAAACAAATTTTTACATATGTGTTTACACTACTAAATCAGACTGGAATGTAGAAAACATGGGGTTTCTTTTTGACTATATTAATAATAAAAATAAAACTATCTTACTTATAATATGAAGTGAATCAACACAAAGTATATCTTTTCTACACTCAACCATGCATCCTACTGATATTATGTAATACATAAATACAAAACATACTGTTTCTACACAGGCTTTATTTCCACTAAGCTAAAACACCTCCCAGCATTGCCTGAAAGGAAAGAGTTTGGATCATCTAAGGACTATAATAGCAAAAAGCCTATCTAGTCACATTTCATCTTCAGGAGTGCTCTCAGGCAAAAAAGCCAACATGTTAAATAGGATGGATTTCACAAATCGATTTGAATTCACTGGCTAAATACACCAAGATGGGACCAAGTCAAATCTTGGGGAAGGACAGGAAAAGAGGTTCCAACTAAAGATCTGTAAACATGTCCTGGTGGTAATAGTTGTTTGACACCTCAGCGTGTGGTGGAGTCTCTTTCTCTGGAGGTTTTTAAGCAGATGCTGGAGGGCCATCTGTCAAGAGTGCTTTGGTTCTGTCTACCTCCTAAGGCTAGGGTTACAGGATATAGTCTCACACTGGATTAAAACAAATATGGAGAAACATGGTGCATGATTGGTATATGCCTTTCCTTCACAAACACACTACAATGTGTGTAAAATAGTAAAATAATACTTTGATACTGGAGGAGCAGTAGTAAAGGATATTTTTCTATTTAACATACACAAAAAATCTCAAGTTTTTTTCTTCTGTGAAAATACAAAAAGATAAATTCAGTGTTGCTCTGACTCTTGTGTATTTCAGGTCTGTATTCTGTCCAGCTGATTCAGTGGACTCAAACATGCACCATGCACACTGGTAGAAATGAGATCATAACTTGGTGCCATGAGTTTAGGTAGAAGCAAAAAAGGAATACATTATATATTGGATAATGAAGGCAATTCTTTCCATGAAGAAATAATTTAATTAGCTCCATAAACTATTTAGGAATTGAAAAAAAGAATTTTAAAGTTCTACTACTCAGGACTTTTATCTTTACCTGATCATCTCATTATTCAAAGCAATAGCTTCCAGGTACCTCTTCAGTGCATAATAATTATGGATATATTTTCGGACGTAATAGCCTCGCCATCTTTTTTGAATCTGGGAGAGAAAAAGCACATATATTTGCTTCAATATCTTTTCTGCAATAGAAGAAAAGTCTAAAACATTTATATGAAATTTGTGGTCTTCTTTGTGAAGGGCGATGATGCTTTGTTATTTGGAATATTGCTTGTTCAATAACACAGATGCAAGATAAATAATACCTTTGAAATGGCTTCATCAATCAAGAAATTAAAGAGGATATTTCTAGTACATATAAACTGACAATGATTTTCTATGATAATTCAAAAGAAGTGTTGCTCTGAAGTTCTTTAAAATGATATCCATTCATCTAATCAAGACAGGCTATCTGCTATTTATGGTAGCACTGAAACAAATTATTATTATAATTAAGTCAAAGCACAATTAATAAAATTAGTCACATATTCTAGCATTTCTGAAATTGATATCTTTTAAATGCTTTAAATTGTAACTCCCATCAGCCCCACCCAGAAAGGATGGTAGTTACGAATAATGATATCTATAGTTGAAACCATCTGGAGGTCACCAGATTGAGGAAACATAGCATAAAAAATAAGATATTTAACTTCTCTACATTTCTTATTTTTAAAGTTGTGCTCACCGTGATGAAATGGTGAAGAACAGGAAGAAAATGTAAACATTGTAAGGATTTTTTGCGGGGAGGCAGGGTTAAAGAAAGGAAAAAGAAATAAATGAGAGGAAAGATTAAGGGTATTGCTGTGATGCCATGGGTTTATCTATAAAATGTTGCTTGATTTATTTTGAGAGTATGAAGTAAGTAGCTTTTGGGAGTGAAGAGGATGGACTGTGAATGCTGATTGGTAGAATGTTTGAACAGATTTGCCTGGGATTGAGAAGTGTCCAGCTAGAAACGAGTTTGAGAAGGGTTTGAGTTAGACTAAGGGTTCAGGTCCAGCCTACCAGCCCACCTGAGACCTGAGATCATCAGGAGAGGTCCTTCTCTTGGGCCCACCTCCGTCACAAGTGCAGTTGGGGGAAATGAGAGAATGGGCCCTCTCAGTGGTGACTCAATGGCTCTGGAACTCCCTTCCCAAAAAGGTGCGATTGGCCCCCTCTTTACTGGCCTTTTGCTCACAAGTTAAAACCTTTCTGTGGAATCAGGCCTTTCTAGAAAACCTGTAATAGGCAATGACGAGGCAGCTCCTGGTAAGGCATATACATCACTGATGGCTATCTCAGTCTTGGCAATGTTTACATGACCTAAAGAAGCAGAGCTTCTAGGATCTTTAGTATAATGTTTTTATGGATAACCTCTGTGGACTGAGGCCCAAGGAATTTTTAATGGTACATTTCATATTTATTAAGCTTGTTATATATGGTTTACGTAATGTGCAATTTGTTTATCTGTTTTGTTTGGGGTTATGATATTGTGCTTTTTGTGTCATGTCATTTCTGCTGTTTTAACCATTTTTCGCTACTTTAAATCCCACTCATGGGAGAAAAGCTGGATATAAATATATAAATAAATACACAAATACTTTGAGTTGAGTGATTGGTAAAGGGCTGGTTTAGCTTTAGAGGTTAAAGTGTGTGGCATTTTAATTATTTTTATACACATACCAATATATATGAAAGTCAAAATATGTCTGTCTGGCCATCTGTCTTGACTTTCTGTTGGTACCACAAATGCTGTTGCTAGGCAATGCTATTGGGTAAGTGAGGGCCTCTCAGAGCTGGAGAAGGGAGAAAGGAGAAAGAAAGGAAAGGAAAGGAAAGAGAGGGAGGGAGGGAGCAACACAGAAAAAGGAAGGAAAGAAGGAAGGAAGACAAAAGAAAGAAAGAAAGGGGGAAATGTATGAGGGGAAGAGAAAGAAAGGTTTAAAGCAGGGAGACAGTGGTCCCAACAATGCTGGGTTTATACTCTAATATATACATGTCTATACACATAAAAATCTATTATATATTTAACCTTTTAAATATGTTTTTGGCTTCTAGAATTACTATCCTTCTGAGCACTTGGTTTCAGACAAGATACACGTGGTGGCAGCGTTGAAAATCCCGTTCGAGATAATAGTAATAAAAAACATTATGGGCACTTAGACTGATTCCACGATTGGCGTCATACAAGGAGGACAGGGAAATATCCTTATGTGTGGCAGAGATGGGGATAAGCTAAGCTCTCATGCTGAATATTTGCAGAGAACACCATGGAATTTTTATTTTGATATTATTATTTTCTGTTTGTATTTCATTTTATTTTATTTGTTTACTGTAATTCTGAGCTTAGCCTCATGTTAGCCGCCCGAGTCCCCTTTGGGGAGATGGTGGCGAGGTATAAATAAAGTTGTTTATTATTATTATTATTATTATTATTATTATTATTTATTATTAATAATAATAATAATTTCACATTGGGTGAGTTAAGAATAAAGACTCCTACATTTGCCAGTAACATAGTAACATAGATTTGCCATTTGGTTGCGAGTTGCCTTCAACCACTTAGGAAACAAGTGTTCTCAGCCTTTGGCAAAGATTAAGTGCAGGACTTCTGGAAGTGACATTATTTCTAGATCTGCTTTGTTTATGTACAAAATGCAACCAATAGTTTTACTTGTTTAATTCTTCTGTTCTTCTACACAGAGTAGGTTTTCTATTTATTTTTTTCTGAAAAAGGATGGTGCCAGAAAAAGTATAATGGCAGTAGAGCAGAACAACACATTGAAAAACTCTTTACAAGAAAAACAAAAATAGTAAAAGGAATGTAACTATACACAGAAAGATTCTTACAAAAGATACAGTCAACAGTACACTATATCGTAGGGTCTCTATGTTTTTGCATCATAAGCAGTTCAGGCCACCAGATGACATGTGCTTGACAGTTCTTTTGTATTCTTGTGCCAGGTGGGCAATAAACTGAGGTGGTTTACTGAATCTCTAGTGGATTGCAACTTGTGAGCAACATTTGGCTTGGCAAATAAAATTGCACATGCTAAGAATGTAGTTACGGATCATATACAGTATATTTTGGGAGATTTGTTTATAACCCCTTCTTCATTAGCAATCCTTACATGCTAATTTCAGCAAATGTTTTCCAACACAAGTATTGTCTTCTCTCAAGCTTTGCCACACTGGTACTGTGATGGCACACCAGGAAGATCTAATGAGAAACCTAAATGTGTCTGGCTATTTTCCCAGTGACCATCGATATGCCCTAATTACTATAATTCCCCCAAAATAAAACTCTATAAACAAGATTAAGTTTAACCAAATTGAGTTTACTAAACAAACAAGATGAATTACAACAATGTACAAAGGTGTAGATTGATTATGATGGTATAACTCTGAGGTAACAAATTACTATTTCTATGAGGTAAATATAACTATACACTATGGGGGATGATGTAACTATCTATCTATGACAAATATTATCTATCCTTTATTACATATATTATCTATGAACTATCTATCTAACTATCTATAACTATTCTATGGCAAATACAAACTATCTATCTATAAACTTCTAAGGCAAATACTATCTATAAGGCAAATACGTGATTAGGATGGCCTGTTCAAATTGCTAGGCCAGACCAGACACTATCTGGCAACTATCTATAAGCTAAGACTAACAAAGAATGGGAAACGAAGTTCTATAACCAGCCCATTCTGGCTCTGAGTCAGAATGGGCTGCACCAACCGAACTCGGCCTCTAGGGGGAACCTAACCTCTCCCCTAAACTTGGTAAAATGGAACAGTCCAACTGAGAAATAAACAGGCCGAGACATCACAGGTACCTTTCTGACATATTAGAGCACAGCCAATATCCTGAGTAATATTATAGCAGTCACAGATTAACACGTGTATATGGCAAGAGCATGGGAAAGGATGTCCCAAGTAGTCCACATATTTTCACTAACATTTTTCCCAGTATACTTATAATTGTCTAGACCCCAATATCAAGTCTTTATAATCTGAGCTGAAGACAATCTGTTCAGTCTATTTCTACATCTAATTTTTTATGTTTCTTGATATGAGTGGCTTTTCTAAATTGGTTAGCAAAACTAATACTTGTGTTCATATATGTTTTGACTCCAAGGTGAATATTTAAACATTCCCAGAAAACTCAAGTCTGTATGACCTTCAAAGTAATTAGCAGGTTTCAATGGTGATTGGTACCAAACAATTATTGTCATTGATCAGTACCAAACAGATAATTTTAAACAAAGTCATTGTGTGCTCAGCAGATTACAGCTTGTTAACGGGCAAGTTCTAAATGACCTCTTAAGCTAGTCAAATCAATGATGCATATTCCTCATTAAGTAACATCAAAATGTAAGTGGTCTTATAAATAATGTTTATTTTAAGCACTAAACAAATGGCAGAACCTTGATATATCAAAAGCCATCTGCTCATAGAAAGGATTTTTTTTAAAAAAATGAATGGGGATTACTTTCATTGTTGAAAATTCATAGCAGCCCTTAAATCTGATGAATGAAAAAGACTACTGTATTACAATTTACAGTTCTAACAGTAAAACAGATTTCTGAAAATTATACAATATAGTAATTGCTTTCTTTTTCATGTTCCAGAGGTGAGAATTTGATAGTAACTGGTCAGATATAATTAAGGAACAACTTTTAAGAACAGATGATAATACAAAATCCATTACCCTAACCAGATACTTTTCCTTTCTGCCTGAACCTAATTTGAAAACTGTTTTTCAAAGCTGAAGGAATGCTGTATTTGTAAACAGCACCAAGGTAGACAGCTACAGTTTCTGAGTCATATCAGTCTTGCCAAGAGATACATCTCCCTCACACTTTTTCATCCCAAGTAACCAACCCGTAAGTAAGATTCAGCAAGGTGGCAGCATGGGTCTGTACAGACTAAACAAAAACTCTGAAAAGCCCAATCAAGCTTTTGATTTCCTATTTCCACACAGTAGTATGCATTAATGCTAGCATGATCCACTTCTCTGCTAGTGTGGTACCATTGTTTTTACTGTGTTTATATGAAAAGCTTTAAATGCAAAATATACTGTCTGATCTTGGAAGCCAGGCATGGTCAGCGCTGGTTAGCATTTGGATGGGAGACTGTCCAAGAATAACAGGCGCTCTAGGCTATATTTCAGAAGAATGGATGAGCAAAACACCTCAAGAGTATTCCTTGCTTAAGAAAACTCAATGAAAATCATGGGGTCACTATAACTGTAGAGGTGACTTGAAGCTACATAGTGATGTAAAAATTCAGGGAACTGCAGTTATGGCAGAACTCCACTGAACAAGTGCAATCATACTCTGTGCAAATTGAAATAAAGATTTGCTGAATGGAGCAAAGATAGCAAAATTACCGTATGTACTGAAAGAGTGGGAATGTTAAGCTCTATGGATAATCTGATGATTATCCACCTCCTCCTCCATCTCCTCTATGTTTGTTATCAATTAGATTTCTGGTTCATTGCAGTTCACCTTATTCCAACTGCATTTTCCTTGAATTTTAACAAAACAGGTAAGTTGATACTGATGGAAAGTATGTATGATATAGCAAGCTATGTGTCCTCTTTGTTTTCAGGATGGGCAAAGAGATGTGCATGGGGTGCCAGACTAGGATTTGGAGACATAAAAGCAAAACTGGTCATAAGATTCACTGGTTAACTAGACATTACAACTTATTTTAAAGCATTCTAAATCTTCTAAAATGTTTAGATTTAGTTCAGATAATGGACTTCATGCTGGTAAATATAAAATAAGTATTCTAGTCATACCTACAATAAATACTTAAACCAACCTACCATCTGCTATTGTAGTCAAGTTGTAGTGGGGGTAGGGGGTAGGAAAGAAACTATTCTTGGAGAATACGTAGGATACAAATGGAGTCAAACAGATCTAGGTGCAATTGAACTGTGCACATGCACAGTAATGCAGAGTTTCACTTGCAATATTTCTTAAAACATTCCATTTAGCAGTATATTTAAATACTATATTTAATAATTTACCGTATTTATATACCACTTTTCTCAGCCATTGTCAGATAACCAAGTATGTGCCTTCAACCTGGCTCTGACTTTTTGTAACCCCATCACAGGGCTTTATAGACAAGATTTATGTAGAGGTGATTTGTAACTTGCCCAATGGATGTCAATGGCTAAATGTGGATTTGAATGTTTGATCTCCCAGAGCATTAATCTGGCACTGAAATCACTAGGCCATACTGACTCCCTTTAACCCGTACTAGTTGGACTGCCTCTAGCTGCCTATTCTTTATTCCCACAATTTGAATATTTATTTTATTCATTTAATTTATATCTTCCCTGACACCCAGTATGGATGTGAAGGGGTTCCATAATGATCAGCATGATCTTAATGATCCAGAAGACTAAACTCAGGCTGCTGGAAGTGACTTTAAAGCAATGGGAATTATATGTATATCACTATTTTTGCATGATTTTAAATAATTGGTTTTAAGGTTTTATATGTTTTTTAATGATTGTTTTAATGTATATGTTTTTATGATGTGTTTTTGGTATCGAATTGTTGCCTATATATGTAAGCTGTCTTGAGTAGGCTATGGGGTTGAGAAGGGCAGGGTATAAATACAGTAAATAAAATAAATAAATATTTTCATGAGCAATTTCTTCTATACCCGATAACATGTCTGGATACTTGTTTTCTACATGTATCATTCAAGGAGGACCAAGGTTAAATTTAAATTTAAAATCTTAAATCAGGTGGTTTATTGAAGCTAAACAAATTTTAGTCTCCAGCTATGACCCAAAATTCAGTCCTTGCACTCTACTTTTGTCCCCTGCCCAAAGATATAGTGTTCCACCTCATATTACACTTTATCCCTAATTTTGTTATCTTGTACTTGCACTTTATCTATCAGCTCTTTCCTCACAATTATTTGTTTTGGCGCCCTCCTGCCCGAGCCCAGAATTGTTTTGCTATTTCAGACTACTGGTTGTTTATGTTGGTTGTTTTTATATTGTGTTATGCTCTTGTTTGTATGTTCTAGTTTTATGCTGTTGTTTTATTAATTTTAATGTGTTATTTTAACTATGTTGATTGGTCTGTCCCCAAGTAAGCTGCCCTGAGTCACGGAGTACAAAAATAAAGTTATTATTATTATTATGAAAAAAGTATGAGTTTTGATCACCATCTGGACAGAATACTAGTAGCAAGCTATATTGTCTATTCCATCTTGTGTTTCCTCACAGAAGAAAAACAGGATATAATGAAATAAAGCAGACCTTCAGTACCCAAGGAAGGTTCCAGGATCCCTCTCCCCACTGTAGGTAACAAAATCCATGGATGCTCAAGTCCCTTTGTATACAATGGTATAGTAAAAATATGTTGCTCTTATATAAAATGACAAAATCAAGATCTGCTTTTAGGAATGTTTTGGCTGGAAATAAATTAAAGCGGTGGATGATTAAATCTGTGGATGAGAATCCATGGATATGGAGGGCCAGCTCTATGCATACTTCAATAAGTAATATTTTCAAAAGCTATAATGATATGACTCAACATGTGCGTAAGAATTTACATAGTGGGACCTTAAATCAAACTGCAATGTTCAAAAATACAACTAGGATTACTCAGTGTAACTTTAAATTTGTAACTATGTACCATTTCCTCACTTCACCATCAGCATATCAATCAAGTTTATATTATTCTCGGTTGCTCATTTTATTAAAAGCAAATTCAGAGCACAATTGACTTTTCATTTGTTTAACAAGTGAAGAAATATTTACCCTGACAGCCATTTCATTGTAGAAATTCATCTTCATAATAAAATATGCTGTCTGTGAATCAAGAGGGAGGGGGAAGAGATGGCATACATTTCAGTTACACAAAGAGAATACTCCTATTTTTACATATAAAAGATAAGAATCTTTATACATAATACATAATAAGAGTTCTAGGCTTAGAAGGAATAAAATCAAACTTTGTATTGAAGAGATAGGCTTCTTAATACATAATGCAGGCTTAACCAGAAAAATCTATGGTAGTCAAACTAGCAGCTAATGGAGATATATGATCATAAAATGCTCTCCGCTGAGTTTGATAATCAATGGTGCTCTACTGAGAGTAGAATAACAAAGCAGAAATATTCACAAGTGCTGGTGACACGTAGTATTGTATGATTTATTCACTGGGGTTCTTTTAACCAAAACTCACAGAAACATAAAAGGAATTCATATTTCAAGACGTCTGGTTTAATGAAAAATTCAAAGAAATGCTGTCTTCAGTCGAAATCGTTCAAGGATATGGATGCGGTGATGGAGCAAAATTGTGCCTTCCAACCATCTGTACTAAATGTTATGTACTTAGTTGCCTCCCGAGTAATCCTCGGGAATTTTGTTTCATTTAATATTCATTCTAACATCATAAAATCATAAATACAATGATAACATGTTACAGTGAATCCCTTGATATAGAAAACATTTTCTGGTTCCCTTCCAATAACGACGAATCCTGCTCTTACTGCTGAAATATCCTGTTACAGTGAATACTCACTTGGCAGGATAGGTTATTTTAATGGATACATCACTTTACACTAAGCTTTCACATCTGTTCCGCCCTCTAATTACAAATGCAAAATGAACATAATTCACAACCGTATCATAAAAAGTAAGTTCTTTCAAGGCAGATTTTTTTTATTTAACATAGCATGCAGGCTCTTATGGGGAGTGGGGGCAGCATCTAAGCTACAAATCTGAGGGGAGAATACTTTTCCCTGATATGTAGTCCCCTGTTCTCTCACTCCTCTCCCTGACAAATAAGAATTCACTGTAAAAGAGTTTCGCTGTAATTAGTGTTATTTGAATTGCTTAGTCTGATCCAAAGGAAATTGTCTGTGGAGAGCAGCAGGACTGGATTATTTATCAACAGTCTGGGCAATTAAGAAACAGTTGGCTGCAATATGTTATTTACAAACGAACACAATAATGCTACTTCATTTGAAATTCATTTTCTTCTTTATACTCAGTGAGGCATAGTTTCTTTTATTTAATTAAAGATGGCTTGTAAATGCTCAATTTAATATTATATTGTTTCCTTAATAATGTGACCTTTCTCCAAAAAAGAATGATCAGAGGAAAGGGCATCTTTTTTGAAAAAATGGTAAAGCGTTGATGTTCTCAAACTAGAAAGTATACCAGCTTGGTGAGATAGTTTGCCTCGCTTCTTTCCAACTTCATGCGGCAAGTGATAGAACATTAACACAGAAAACCTACTCCACTACTTCACATGATATATTCCATCTTCATCCTGATTCTACACATTTCAAATTGCCTGTTCATTGAGTGAAATATTGTGGACCAGATGTTCACACTTGTTATCTGATCAACCTTGTACGTCTGTGCAAAACTGTTAGGGCAAAATATATGAGGCCCTTTCTACACTGACATATAACCCAGATTTTCAAACCAGATAATCCACAGTATCTGCTTTGAACTGCCTTATATGCATTTATAATAAATAAATAAACAAATAAATAATACTTTGGATTGCCGTGAGTTTTCTGGGCTGTATGGCCATGTTCCAGAAGCATTCTCTCCTGAAATTTTGCCCACATCTATGGCAGGCATCCCTCAACCTCTGAGGATGCCGGCTATAGATGTGGGCAAAACGTCAGGACAGAATGCTTCTGGAACATGGTCATACAGCCCAGAAGACTCACAGCAACCTAGTGATTTTGGCTATGAAAGCCTTCGACAACACAAATTTTATTTATATACTGCTCTATCTTCCCAAAAGGGACTCACTGCCAATATAGAACAGTTCAAAGCAGATAATCTGGATGTTATGTGGCTGTGTAGAAGAGGCCTCCAAACAATCTCCTTTCCAGCTGCATGCCTGTATCCTGAAACTGAATAAGCTTCAACAACATTAAGAACAGTCATTTCTGAAGTTGCACGCTTTCGTCCTGTTTGAATTAGACCTATATTTCTTAGATATGCAGTACAGCCCTCCTGAGAGAAGCATACAGTGTTCCCTCACTTATCGTGGGGGTTATGTTCCAGGACCACTCATGATAAGTGAAAAACCGCAAAGTAGGGATGCCCCCTCTCCTTCCCACCACACCCTCTTTACCTTCCTCTTCCTCCTCCTCATTGCCGCCTGCCTTTCTTGCCACTGCTCGGGCCCTGCGATTGAGGAGGTGGCAGATGTGTTGTGGGGCCCTGGCAGCAGCAAGGAGGAAGAGGAAGGTAAAGAGGGCGAGGAAGGAAGAAGAGCCGCCCCTCACCCTCTTTACCTTCCTCTTCCTCGTCGCCACCAGGGCTTCTTGCTGCCAAGAGGCAGTAAGAGGCCCCAGAGGTGGCGAGAAGGAGGAAGAGAAAGGTAAATAGGGTGAGGGGTTGGCTCTTCTTCCCTCCTTGCCCTCTTTACCTTCCTCTTCCTCCTCCTCACCACCGGCAGCAAGAGGCCCCGGGTTTGGCGAGGAGGAGGAAGAGGAAAGTAAAGAGAGTGAGGAGGGAAGAAGAGCCACCCCCTAACCCTCTTTACCTTCCTCTTCCTCCACTGCCGGGGCGTCTTGCTGCCAAACAGCAGCAAGAGGCCCAGGTAGCGGAGAGGAGGAGGAAGAGGAAGGTAAAGAGGATGAGGAGGGAAGAAGAGCAGCCCCCTCACCCTCTTTACCTTCCTCTTCCTTGTCACCGCTGGGGCCTCTTGCTGTAGAGGCGGTGCAGAGATCATGCAGCGGTAAGAAGCCCAGGCGGTGACAAGGAGGAGGAGGAAGGGGAAGATAAAGTGGACGAGGTCGCAGCTCTTCTTCCCTCCTCGCTACCATGTTCCCTCGCTAATATATATATATATATATATCTCCCGTGAAACAGAAAGTCTGTGGTAAGTTAACCACAAAGTAGTGAGGGAACACTGTACTATGGAATCATCTAGAGAACACGGAAAGTTCTAAATGACTGGATGCGGGCAGGTGAAACCACAGGGACTGGTCACATGTGCACTAGGTTTGTGCACGGATTCGGTTAGGTGGGTTCCCTTTGGCTAATCTGGCTTGTTTGGCTGTAATGGCAAGGGCTCAGCCGTCATATTTATTTTGACCGAATAAAGCCAGTCACAAGAAGAGGTATTTGATCCTACTCAGGCTAGTTCACCTTTATTATAGCCTCTTGAGTTTCTTTAAGCTGTTAATGGAGTAAAAGGGCAAAGACAGCAGTGCCCCCTTTGTTTCAGACAACGCCCATTTTTCCTGTGCTTCAGGAAAGGAAATAAACAGATAAAATCTCCATGATTTTATTAATCAGACCTGAAAGTTAGTTCGCTTTTCTACAGTGCCAGTTAATAGAATAGTGGAGCAGGAAACAAAATCATACTTTTACTCCTTTGCCACACAGCCAATTCCAAATAACCAAGAACAATAACTCACAGTACAACAGCTGTGAGATGAACAAATATTTGTGTCTCATGGTTTCCCAAACCATAAAGCACACAAAAGGTTTTGTGAGATCAAAATGTCAAGAAATATTCAGGTGAAACAATATATGAAGTGCTTTTGATTTTAGAAAAGAAACAGCTATACAATGCAATAGGGAAATTAAACAGCAAGTTGTGATTCACTGCAGGGTGTCCCTCTTTGGAAAACATAAACAAAAGTTCAAATGAAGCCAAGGTCTTCTCTGTCATGTTCCCCTTGGCTGAAGTTATTTTATCTTTTTTCCTCAGAACAATTGATCCACAAGGCTGCCATCAGTTTAGACAACTTAGTGAGACCTATTTTGTTTTATTTCCCTTTAATCCTGATCACTTATGCCTGACTGAAAACATGCAGGTTTGAAAGCTTGACCTGATAAAAGAGATCTCTCAAAAACTTCATGCTGATGTATCAATATTTTGGAAAGCTTAGATTAGAATCTTAGTAAAAAAAAATACAAACTTAATTTTTACCTCTGCCATTTTTCTGAATATTTTTCTTGCTTGATAACCTCGCCACCATTTTTGGATAAACACCATCATTTTGTTCAGATACCTAGGACAGAATATCTTAATAAGTAAATAATATTTTTTAAAGAGCAAATGTTACTATGAACTACTGAAAGCTACTGAATTTGGAATCTTCCTACATTTAAATGTACAATTATTTGCCACAAGCATTACTGCAGTCAGCCCTCCACATTTTTGGGTTTGACTTTTGCAAATATGGTTAGTCATTGATTTGATTGAAATGATATTTCTAGGAATTTCTTGGTCTTTTGACTCTATAGTCAACTTCCTGTGGACATTGATCACAGTCACGGTTATAGATTCTTAGAGAGGTGGTGTCTAAGGTAAAACAAAGAACATGTTTTTTTTAATGGTCTTTCCGTTTTTGCAGGTCCTATGTCTCTAAATCCAGCATGTGTAGAAAGCTGACTGTAACTGTGATAAGTGAAAGAAATAAAGTTTCACTCTTTTCTGTAATGCCGAATGCTAAGTGTCGTCTTTAGTATATATCCTTTCCAATGTGAATTTCTTACCCTATTAGGAGAAAAAAAATAGAGATAAAGATATGAAAAGATAGTAATTTAATATCAATGCCAGTTTTTGAGAAGTTCAAGTCTGGAAAAAATTATTATATTTTGGTTTGAAATTTGAAACTTGGAAAAATAGTACAAAGAAGTTCAAAGTATTGGACCAAAGAGATAATCTGGAATGGAAAAGAACTGCCTTGCAGTTTCCATCAAATACAGATTAATTGTGCTGTTTTGGGTGTACTATTCCTTGTTGAGTAAACTTTACTTTATTACCCGTATTTTCCGGTGTCTAAGACGACTGGGCGTATAAGATGACCCCCAACCTTTCCAGTTAAAATAAAGAGTTTAGGGTATATTTGTCGTATAAGACTACCCCTCTTCAAATGAACACATTTTTTTTAAAAAAAATCAGATTTGATTTCACCATGGTAATTACCTTATGTAAGCTCGGACTTTGCATCCTCTAAACCAACTCTGAATTATTACAGCAGCATTGTATTCTGATTTTCTGTATTGATCGACGAACCTGAAATCATAAAATATTAAAATGTGTATTTTTGTCATTATATTTATGAAAAGAAAAAAAAATAAACTCACATTTTTCCCCTCAAAAGTATTCATACTGTTCAATTAAATCTATAAAAATAAACTTAACTTGCCATAGCTGAGAAACACATTTCCCTTAAACTGCAGAATCTACAGGCAGTCTAAATGTACCGTATACACTTGAGTATAAGCCAGACTGAGTATAAACCAACGCACCTAATATTACCACAAAAAACTGGGAAAACTTACTGACTTGAGTATAAGTGAGGGTGGGAAACGCAGCAGCTACTGGTCAATTTCAAAATAAAGATACCAACAAAATTACATTAATTGAGGCACCACTAAGTTAAATGTTTTTGAATATTTGCATAAAACAGTAATTTAAGATAAGACTGTCCAAATCTATTGAAATCATGATTCTAACCTTCTTCAATGTAAATGTGCTTATGTATTCTTCCAATAATAATAGAGTAAAATAATAAATGTAATAATAACAATAATGATAGAGTAAAATAATAAATATAATAATAACAACAATAATAAATAGAGTAAAATAATAATTGTAAGAGGAGGGAAGATGCTCGCGGGGCGAGGGAGGATGAGAAAAAGGTTCTTGCAATGAGAGAAGAGGAGAGGAACAATATGGAAAAAATGGCCTCCAATATGGATGTCTAAAATATCAAAGTGGACACCCTTAAAATGCTTGTATGAGAAGGAGTTTTACCCCAACTGGTGGAAGGACATGAAGGACGAAAGTTACTATTGTATTAAACATTGTATGACATAAATGGTCAACTGACCCCCATAAGTAGGGTAATAGAAAAAGTGGGTAATCATGAAATACGTTGTGTTATACAATGTGTTATTACAATCTTATGTATGTATCCATATGGTGTTTTTATGCTTTAATTATTGTGTGATTTAAGAGTGATTTGGTTGCATGTTTACTATTACTATATTGTGTTTCTTCTGTTGTAAGCTTCTCCGAGTCCTTTCGGGGAGAGGAGGTGGGATATAAATAAAGCTTATTATTGCTATTATTATTATAAGGGATTGGTTTAACCTGTTTGCTAGTAAAACTGAATTACAATGTCTCAAAATGATGCAAATCGAACTACTTCATCACACTAGAGAATGAATCCACTTTAAATCCAGCTTCTGACTCCTGCAGAATTCTGGGGTTTGTAGTTTAGTGAGACTGTTAAAGGCTTCTCCCTAAACTACAAATCCCAGAATTCTGCAGGAGGCAGCACCTGGATTTAAAGTGGATTCATTCTCTAGTGTGATAAAATGTTTGGAAAGCTCTGGTCTACACTGTAGAAAGAAAGTCATATTCTTTTCATATGTGCTGACATGTGAAATCCTTAATGATTCACTTGCAATGTGATTTCTTTAGATTTTAATCTGAGTTTTAAAAATCTAACTATTTACCTGATAGTTTTACAGAAAACCCAGATTTTGGAGTGTGTGGCTAGGTAGCCCTTCAGGTGGCATTACTTTGCTCTATTGTTTCTAGGGAGGAGTTAGCAGTGGGCAGAACGGCTGGGCCTGGATCTACATTGCCATATAATTCAGTTTCTGAATCCAGATTGTTTGCTTTGAACTGGATTATATGGCAATTTGGCGTTCTCTGCCAAAAAGGTGTCAAACTGCACTAATTCAACAGTGTATTTCAAGCATGGGCAAACTTGGGCCGTTGGTGTTTTGGACTTCAGCTCTCATAATTCCTAACAGCCTCAGGCCCTTTCCTTTCCCCCCTCAGAGGCTGTTAGGAATTGTGGGAACTGAAGTCCAAAACACCTGGAAGGCCCATGTTTGCCCATGCCTGGTGTAGATGCACTCTTAGGGCCCTTCTATACAATCATACAACCCAAATTATAAAGGTAGAAAATCCCAGAATCTGCTTTGAACTGTGTTATATGAGTCCACACTGCCATATATTCCAGTTCAAAGCAGAAAATGTGGGATGTTATTTAGCTGTATGGAAGGGCCCTTCATTGCCTGATAGGACAAGACCTAAAAAAGCACATTGGTTAGATCTACACTGCCATATATTGCAACCTTGAGTGCATTATGTGGTCAATGTAGACTCAGATAATGCAGTGTGAACTGCATTATAAGAGGCCCCTTCCAGCTGACTAAAATCCATATTATCTGCTTTGAATTGGGATATATGGCAGTGTGGACTCAGATATTCCAGTTCAAAATAGATATTGTGGGATTTTCTGCTTTGATATTCTGGGATATAGAATCATAGAATCATAGAATCAAAGAGTTGGAAGAGACCTCATGGGCCATCCAGTCCAACCCCCTGCCAAGAAGCAGGAATATTGCATTCAAATCACCCCTGACAGATGGCCATCCAGCCTCTGTTTAAAAGCTTCCAAAGAAGGAGCCTCCACCACACTCCGGGGCAGAGAGTTCCACTGCTGAACGGCTCTCACAGTCAGGAAGTTCTTCCTCATGTTCAGATGGAATCTCCTCTCTTGTAGTTTGAAGCCATTGTTCCACGTCCTAGTCTCCAAGGAAGCAGAAAACAAGCTTGATCCCTCCTCCCTGTGGCTTCCTCTCACATATTTATACATGGCTATCATATCTCCTCTCAGCCTTCTCTTCTTCAGGCTAAACATGCCCAGCTCCTTAAGCCGCTCCACATAGGGCTTGTTCTCCAGACCCTTGATCATTTTAATCGCCCTCCTCTGGACACATTCCAGCTTGTCAATATCTCTCTTAATTGTGGTGCCCAGATGGACACAATATTCCAGATGTGGTCTAACCAAAGCAGAATAGAGGGGTAGCATTACTTCCCTAGATCTAGACACTATGCTCCTATTGATGCAGGCCAAAATCCCATTGGCTTTTTTTGCCGCTACATCACATTGTTGGCTCATGTTTAACTTGTTGTCCACGAGGACTCCAAGATCTTTTTCACACGTACTGCTCTCGAGCCAGGCATTGTCCCCCATTCTGTATCTTTGCATTTCGTTTTTTCTGCCAAAGTGGAGTATCTTGCATTTGTCCATTGAACTTCATTTTGTTAGTTTTGGCCCATCTCTCTAATCTGTCAAGATCGTTTTGAATCCTGCTCCTGTCCTCTGGAGTATTGGCTATCCCTCCCAATTTGGTGTCGTCTGCAAACTTGATGATCCTGCCTTCTAACCCTTCATCTAAGTCATTAATAACAAGAGCGTGGACCACTGTGGCCAGATCAGACTTCCCAAGGTAAGGGCGCAACTGGTGCACAAGTTTTAGTTTTAGTTGTGCAAAAGAGCTGTGTGGAAGAGCCCTCAAATACACCCCAGGTTTCAGTGGTGGCCGGGAGAGCTTTTGCACAACTAAAACTTGTGCACCAGTTGCGCCCATACCTTGGGAAGTCTGATCTGGCCACAGTGGTCCACGCTCTTGTTACATCCCGAATAGACTACTGCAACGCACTCTACGTGGGGTTGCCCTTGAAGACTGTTCGGAAACTTCAACTAGTCCAGCGAGCGGCAGCCAGATTACTCACCGGAGCGACATACAGGGAGCAAGCTGCATCTGTTATGTCAGCTCCACTAGCTGCTGATCCAGTTCCGAGCACAATTCAGAGTGCTGGTTTTGACCTACAAAACCCTATACGGTTCCGGCCCAGCGTATCTGTCAACGCATCTCCTTCTACGTCCCGCCTCGGAGTTTAAGATCTTCTGGGGAGGCCCTGCTCTTGGCTCCACCTCTATCACAAGTGAGGTTGGTGGGAACGAGGAGCAGGGCCTTCTCGGTGGTGGCCCCTCACCTGTGGAATTCACTCCCCGGGGAAATTAGGTCATCGACATCCCTCCTCTCTTTTAGAAGGAAATTAAAAACATGGATTTGGGACCAGGCTTTTGGGTAATCTGGCAGACAGACAAAGGACAAGCGACGACTAGAACTGATGGATTTGACAATGTGGAAATGAATTTACAGACTCTGAGCTGACAAACGTTGAGCACTAGATTGGTTTTATGGATTATGATGTATGATGTATAATGGATTGTTTTAATTGTTTTAATTACTGTTTATATATGTTTTATTTTTATCTTATTGTTGTGCTGGCATCGAATTGTGCCTTTTGTAAGCCGCCCTGAGTCCCCCCTCGGGGGTTGAGAAGGGCGGGGTAGAAGTGCGAGAAATAAATAAATAAATAATAAAGCAGACCTTGTGGGATTTTCTGCCTTGATATTCTGGGTTATATGGCTGTATGGAAGGGCCCTGGAGACCCTTCCACACAGCCCTATATCCCTGAATATCAAGGCTGGAAATCCCACATTATCTGAGTGTGGATTCAGATAAACCAGTTCAAAGCAGATGTTGTGGGATTTTCTGCTTTGATATTCTGGGTTATAGGGCTGTGTGGAAAGGCCCTGGGTCTACACTGAATGCAGATTTACATGGCCGTGTAGATTCAATGTATTGTCGAAGGCTTTCATGGCCGGAATCACTGGGTTGTTGTAGGTTTTTCCGGGCTATAGGGCCATGTTCTGGAGGCAATTTTTCTCCTGACGTTTCGCCTGCATCTATGGCAAGCATCCTCAGAGGTAGTGAGGTCTGTTGGAAGTAGGAAAAATGGGTTTATATATCTGTGGAATGACCAGGGGGAGACAAAGGACTCTTGTCTGCTGGGGCTAGGTGTGAATGTTTCAGCTGATCACCTTGATTAGCATTCAACGGCTTGGAAGTGCCTGGGGGGAATCTACATGAAGCCGTTGGGAGAGATCATCCGGAGTTTCGGGGTGCGGTGTTATCTGTACGCAGATGATGTCCAACTCTGTCACTCCTTTCCACCCACTACTAAGGAGGCTGTTCAGGTCCTGAACCGGTGCTTGGCCGCTGTGTCGGACTGGATGAGGGCTAACAAATTGAAATTGAATCCAGACAAGACAGAGGCACTCCTGGTCAGTCGAAAGGCCGAACAGGGTATAGGGTTACAGCCTGTGTTGGACGGGGTCACACTCCCCCTGAAGACGCAGGTTCGCAGCTTGGGTGTGATCCTGGATTCATCGCTGAGCCTGGAACCCCAGGTCTCGGCGGTAACCAGGGGAGCATTTGCACAATTAAAACTTGTGCGCCAGCTGCGCCCGTACCTTGGGAAGTCTGACTTGGCCACGGTAGTCCACGCTCTGGTTACATCCCGCATAGATTACTGCAACGCGCTCTACGTGGGGCTGCCCTTGAAGACTGCCCGGAAGCTTCAGATGGTCCACCGCTCGGCAGCCGGTTGCTAACAGGAGCGGCACGCAGGGAGCATACAACTCCTCTGCTGGACCAGCTCCACTGGCTGCCATCTGCTACCGGGCTCAATTCAAAGTGCTGGCGTTGGCCTAAAAGCCCTAAACGGTTCTGGCCCCACTTACCTCTCCGAACGCATCTCCACCTATGAACCGACGCAGACATTAAGATCGTCCGGGGAGGCCCTGCTCTCGGTCCCGCCTGCGTCACAGGCGCGGTTGGCGGGGACGAGGGACAGGGCCTTCTCGGTGGTGGCCCCTCGGCTATGGAATGCCCTACCTGTAGACATCAGACAGGCCCCTTCGCTGCTGGCGTTTCGGAAGAAGGTTAAGACTTGGCTCTACGAGCAAGCGTTTGGCTAAACAGTGCAACTGAACACAGGAAGACGGTAAAATTGAACATAGGAATGGCACAAGGATTATGAGAATGGATTTTGCTCTGTTATCGAGGCGTCATGAATTGATAATAATTGTTGATTTTGTTGTTGTGTATGATGTGTTTTTAACTGTTTATTGTTGCGATAACCTGCATTGTGTAAACCGCATTGAGTCGCCTAATTAGGCTGAAAAATGCGGTATAGAAATAAAGCAAATAAATAAATAAATAAATCTTTTGTAGAGAGTGATTTTATGTGCGAGTGTTTGTTTCCCCTCTGTTGTTTTGCTGTTATAATTTTTGAGTTTTTTTAATACTGGTAGCCAGTATAGATTCAGTGTAGACTCGGTGTAGATCCAGCCTCAGGTTCCTGACAAAGGCCAGGCCTTGCGCTCTGCGTTACCTGTTCCTGTGGAAATACTCCTCCTTCAGGCCCGGGAGCCCTTCTTGCAGCCTGGCCAGAGTGACCATCCTTGCCCCCCTCCCATCCTGCTTCCCTGGATGGTGTACACGGCGTCGCCATGGCAACGGGGCCGTACCACACGGCGCGGGGGGGGGTGTTTGTGTGTGGAATCGGTGCGTGAGGTTTGTCTCCTCAAACTGGGAGAGAGCGGTTGGGGAAGAAAGGAAATATAAATCACACAGACGGACGAAGGAAGTGAAGCGGCGAGGGAAGGAAAGGCGGTGCTGTTTTGTGTTCTTTTTCCTCCCCTTCTTCTTCTTCGAATGGTGGCGCCCAGCTTCCTCCCAGCGCCGCGCTACTTCCGGGGTAGCATCCTGAGGGAGAGAGGAGGCTTCGCGCGGAGCCTCGGAGGTGGATGGTGGCCGTTTCCCCCGAGTGTCTACCGAGCGGCTCCCGCCTCCTCAGGGAGCGGCCTGCGGCAGGCGCCGGGTACATGTCCCGGGGGGCCGAGGCCACCCCGAGCAGACCTCCGGCCGCCAGGAAGAGCTGGTGAGGGGCAGGAGGAGGCAGGCAGGGAGGGAAGGAAGGCCTCGCCTCTGGGGCTTCGGGGAAGGGGGCCGCATCTTGGGCAAGGAAGGGGTCAGGCCCCGCCGTGTGGGCCAGGTTGACAAGCGGCCATTGGGTTGCATCAGGAAATAAAGGCTCTTCTGGCCTGCTGGGCTGTTTAATGGGACCCTGATTTACTATTATTGCATTTATTTATTTATATTCCGCCTAGGCAGAAAATTCCCCCGGTGGCGCAGTGGGTTAAAGCACTGAGCTGCTGAGCTTGTTGATCGAAAGGTCGCAGGTTCGATTCCGGGGAGCGGCGTGAGCTTCCGCTGTCAGCCCTAGCTTCTGCCAACCTAGCAGTTCGAAAACATGAAAATGTGAGTAGATCAATAGGTACCGCTCCGGCGGGAAGGTAACAGCGCTCTAAGCAGTCATGCCGGCCACATGACCTTGGAGGTGTCTACGGACAACACTGGCTCTTCGGCTTAGAAATGGAGATGAGCACCACACCCCGGAGTCAGACATGACTGGACTTAATGTCAGGGGACTACCTTTACCTTTACCTTTAGGCAGAAAAACCATGAGAGGGAAGGGTATTTGAGGCAAAGATGAAGTTCCGGCCCAGTTTACCTGTCCAAAGGTTCTGGCCCAAGCTACCTATCCGAACGTATCTCTGCCTATGAACTCACCAGGACGCTAAGATCTTCTGGGGAGGCCCTGCTCTCGATCCCGCCTGCATCGCAAGCACGGCTGGCGGGGACGAGGGACAGGGCCTTCTCTGTGGTGGCCCCTCGGCTGTGGAACGCCCTTCCCATGAACATTAGATCAGCCCCTTCGCTAATCGTGTTTCGAAGAAAACTAAAAACCTGGCTGTTTGAACAGGTGTTCAGATAAATAGTGCAATTGAACGATGAATATAGGAACGGATTTATGGATGACGAATTGGATCACGATTTTAGTTACGAGATGCTAATGTGTTGTTATTGATGTGTCATTATTTGTATACTAGGCTGTTAATGGTTTTAAATATTGTATGTTGTACGATTGACTTTTTTGCTCTTGTTGTGAACTGCGTTGAGTCGCCTACGGGCTGAGAAACTGCGGTATACAAGCAAAGTAAATAAATAAATAATAAATAAATGTATTCTCTCCTATGAACCACCAAGACAATTAAGATCTTATGGTGGGGCCCTGCTTTCGCAATCATGTGTGGCGGGAACAAGAGACAGGGCCTTTTCTGCGGTGGCCCCTTGCCTATGGAACTCTCTCCCGATTGAGATCAGATCTGCCCCCTCCCTCCTGGCTTGAGAGCAGTACGTGTGAAAAAGATCTTGGAGTCCTCGTGGACAACAAGTTAAATATGAGCCAACAATGTGATGTTGTTGCCAATGGGATTTTGGCCTGCATCAATAGGAGCATAGTGTCTAGGTCCAGGGAAGTAATGCTACCCCTCTATTCTGCTTTGGTTAGACCACACCTGGAATATTGTGTCCAATTCTGGGCACCACAATTCAGAGAGATATTGACAAGCTGGAATGTGTCCAGAGGAGGGTGACTAAAATGATCAAGGGTCTGGAGAACAAGCCCTATGAGGAGCGGCTTAAGAGCTGGGCATGTTTAGCCTGAAGAAGAGAAGGCTGAGAGGAGATATGATAGCCATGTATAAATATGTGAGAGGAAGCCACAGGGAGAAGGGAGCAAGCTTGTTTTCTGCTTCCTTGGAGACTAGGACACAGAACAATGGCTTCACACAAGAGAGGAGATTCCATTTGAACATGAGGAAGAACTTCCTGACTGTGAGAGCTGTTCAGCAGTGGAACTCTCTGCCCCGGAGTGTGGTGGAGGCTCCTTCTTTGGAAGCTTTTAAATAGAGGCTGGATGGCCATCTGTCAGGGGTGATTTGAATGCAATATTACTGCTTCTTGTCAGGGGGTTGGACTGAATGGCCCATGAGGTCTCTTCCAACTCTTTGATTCTATGATTCCTGTCCTTCAGGAGGCTGGTGTAATCTTGGCTGTGGAAGGAAGCATTCCCAGAGTAATGGTTGAAAGCGGCTACAGAACAAAGTTATCGACCACACATACGGACTGAGTTGGACATGATTATATCTTGGCAATTTGGCTTATTTGTAATTTTTATCGATACGTATTTTAACTCGTTATTATATGATGTCTTTAGATTGCACTGTTAGCATTGAATCCTTGCTGTAAGCTGGTCTGAATCCCTCTACGGAGGATATAAAAGTTTTAAATAAAGAAATAAATATTTTGGCCACATAATGAGAAGAAAGGAAAGCTTAGAGAAGACAATGATGCTGGGGAAAATGGAAGGAAAAAGGAAGAGGGGCCGACCAAGGGCAAGATGGATGGATGGCATCCTTGAAGTGACTGGCTTGACCTTGAAGGACCTGGGTGTGGCGACAGCCAACAGGGAGCTCTGGCGTGGGCTGGTCCATGAGGTCACAAAGAGTCGGAAGTGACTGAACGAATGAAAAACAACAACAGGCAGAAAAAATGAAATGCAAAGATACAGAATGGGGGACACCTGGCTCGACAGCAGTACGTGTGAAAAAGATCTTGGAGTCCTTGTGGACAACAAGTTAAACATGAGCCAACGTCATGCGGCAGCGGCAAAAAAAAAAAGCCAATGGGATTTTGGCCTGTGTAAATAGGAGTCTAGTGTCTAGATCCAAGGAAATCATGCTCCTCCTCTATTCTTGGCCACGGTAGTCCATGCTCTGCTTACATCCCGTATAGACTACTGCAGCACTCTCTACGTGGGGTTGCCTTTGAAGACTGTCCAGAAGCTTCAAATGGTCCAACGCTCGGCAGCCAGGTTACTAACTGAAGCGGCACCCAGGGAGCATACAACTCCTCTGTTGCGCCAGCTCCACTGACTGCCAGTTTGCTACCAGGCACAATTCAAAGTGCTGGCCTTAGCCTATTAAGCCCTAAACGGTTCTGGCCCAACTTACCTGTCCGAACGTATATCCTCCTATGAACCAGTTAGGACGTTAAGATCGTCTGGGGAGGCCCTGCTCTCTGTCCCGTCTGCATCACAAGTACGGTTGGTGGGGCCGAGAGACAGGGCCTTCTCAGTGATGGCCCCTCGGCTGTGGAACACCTTCCCATAAAAATTAGATCGGCCCACTCCCTGTTCACATTTCGGAGGAAAGTGAAGACCTGGTTGTTTGAGCAGGCATTTGAATAGGCAATGTAACTAATATAGAAATATGGAACATTTGGATGATGAGACTGGATCTTGATTTTAACTATGAGATGAGATGAGATGAGATGAGATGTTATGATATTTATTGATTGTTTTAATGTTATTCTTTTAACTTGTTTTTAACTGTTTTTATCATGTTTAAGTATTGTATTTGCTTTGTTAACCGCTCTGAGTCTCCCTGAGGGCTGAGAAGAGCGGTATACAAATATAGTAAATAAATAAATATTCTGCCTTGGTCAGTCCACACCTGGAATACTGTGCCTAATTCTGGGCACCTCAGTTGAAGGGAGATGTTGACAATATGCTGACAATTCATGAATGGAAGATCACTATTTTAGTATGGTAATTAGATAAAGACATCTCATGTAAAGCTTCTAGAAAAATGGCTCCCAGCAAGAAATGAAGATGAAACTCCAATCTTTTGGTAAAATGGGCCCTCCACCAATATATTTCTTTGAATGAGGCAAAGGGATTCAATGAGGCACACTGTAGATTCAAGACAGTTTGACACCACTTGAGCTGTCATGGCTCATCACTATGGAATCATGGAAACAGTAGTTTGATGTGGCACCAGTATTCTGGCAAAGAGAGCTAAAGATCTTGTCAAACTGCAACTCCCATCATTCCATAGTGCTGAATGCTAGCGAACTGTCAAACTCCATTAATTCTAGAGTGCAGATATACCCTAGGATGATAATTATTATATGGTATTTATTTATGTTCTGCTTTCCTGTCTTAAATGAGACTCATGGCTCCTTACAGACTCACTTTTTATGGCATGATTATTTATTATTATTTTATTATAGTTACTTGCACTCGAAACTGCTGCTCACCCCATCAGATTTGTCTGTTGAAAGGTTGCCATCCTTTATTTGTAAATCAGTATCTTGGGGTGCATATACACTGTAGAATCAATGCAGTTTGACACCACTGTAACTGCCATGTCTCAGTGCTGTGTAATTTTGGGATGTATAGTTGTATTGTGGCAGCAACTCTTTGAGAGGAGAAAGACCTTGTGAAACTCATAATTCCATAGTATTATGCCATGCAGTTACAGTATTCATTCAATAGTATAGATACACTTTAAAATGATTAGAATGATGATGATGGTGATTTATATCCCAATTTACTCTCTCAAACAAGATGTAGAGCAGAGTACAAACCCACTTTTTATGGCATGCTGATTTATTATTAATTGTATACCAGAGTGCTGCTGGCCCAAGCAGGTTTGTTGACAAGTTGCCAGCCTTATCCGTCAGGCCATATCTTGGGAAAAATCAATGCATTTTGACCCTACTTTAACCGCTGT